AACAAGAAAGGCAGGAAGAATAGGTGGATTCCAAAGGCCTGTCTTCCTAAGAGGCAACAGGCCACATGCTTAGAACCCAGTCATGTGAGTTCTTAATAGTAGAAGTGATCCCTAAGACTTTGGACCTGGGAATATGTCAATTTTCCTTAGCTCCTGCTCAACAAAAGTAATATAGGTGGATACTTCAACAGTGTTTGTGAAGGGGATTATAAGTTTATTTTGCACTTTAAATTTATATGTATGAGGAGTCCCCAAAATTTTGGGGAATTGGGCATTATGAAATGCTACATGGATTTCAACTTTTTTAAGTGAGGCATTTGTTCAAAATATAGCTTACATGATTTGAATTTTTTAAAAAATTCAAATTTATTTTGTACTTGAAAAATAAAAGAAAGGATAAAGAAAGGTGTCTTCCATATACTGATTCATTCCCCACATATCTGCAATGTATGAAGCAGGCCTGGTGCAGCACCAAGATTCAGGAGCTTCTTCTGGCCCTTCCACATGGGGGCAAGGGCCAAGCTCTTGACCATTCTCCACGGCTTTCTCAGGCACATCAGCACAGGGCTGCATCAGATGTGGACCATCCAGGATTTGAACCAGAATCTGCAATATGTCACTCCATTCTCTTCTTGTCTGTAGAGTTTCCTGTGAGAGATCTCCTGTGAATTTAATTGGCATTCCTTTAGATGCCAAATGATTTTTTTTTCACGTGCTCATTTAAGTATCTTTTCCTTATCTTCAATTGAAGAAAGCTTAATGATCATATGTCTTGATGAAGATCGCTATTGATCAAGCCTGTTGGGAGTTCTGTGCCCACCCTGGATCTTGTTTCCCAATTCTTTCTGTAGATTAGGAAATTTTTCCTTGATTATTTCATTAAATACATTTGCAAACTCAGCTCTTTCTGCACCTTCCCGGACTCCCATAATTCTTATATTTGGCCTCTTAATAGTGTTTCAATTCTTGGATACCTTTTTTGATCAGATCCAGCTCTGCTTCCAGCTTTTTATTTACTTTCCCCTGATGACAGAAAATACCTTCCAATTCTGAGATTCTTTCTTTTGCTTGCTTCATTCTATTTTGCTGACTCTCCAATGTAGTTTTAATTTGTCCTGCTATGTTCTTAATTTTTGATATATCAGCCTTGATATGCTTTATTGCTTCCTTAAATTCTTTGAACTTTTGCATGAGCTTCTCATTGTTGATCAGAAGCATTAAAATGAGCTTTATGAATTCTGTGTGTTCCCTTTTTCTCAATGTCTTCCTCAATTAACTCTAAGGTTGTCATGGGTTTTGCTCCTTTGGAGGGGAGTTTTCAGTAATATTCATTGTGCCTTTATCTCTTCTTTTTCTCTTGGTCATTGTACTTCTGGTTAGCAGAGTCTTCTCCTTCAGGCAGGTTTCTAAGATGTGTTACCCACAGGTCTACAATGTGATTTTACTTATTGCAGTTGGTACACAACTCTTTGCTTGCAACTACTTGTGCTACAACCTCCAGAGTTCCAGGTCTGGGTTCTTATGTCAGATATCCACCGTGGTCTCCACAGCCCCAGCTCCTGGCTCACCACTCATCCACCTCTTGTGATACCATACTGAGGCTGCACCATTGTCTGTACTACCTTTCTCCCACTTCCAGTTGGAGCAGGTCCCAGGATTAGACACCAGATGTTCTGTCTAGATAGGTTGTTGTTGGTGCTGATCTTGCTGGCACATATTGGACGTTAGGTCTGGGTGCCACACGGGCCTATTTTGACCTGTATGATGCCAGAGTTGGCGTTATATTCATGTGGGATCAGTGCAATCCACGGACCTCAGCGAGTTTTGGTGAGCTCAGTACTTGCACAGTTCACTGTTGTCTCCTGCAGTCCTAAAGCTATTGCCACACTGTACAAAACGGCGCCTGATGAATAACTACTAGAGTTCTTGATCTGCTGACTGTCAGGTCTTAGCGCTATGCAGACCTGCCTTGGGTGGAAGCTGTATAATTCCATGTTGCTGCAGTTCACTGTGTTAGAAATGAGTCCACTCCCAGCTCAGCATATGCTCAGTCCTTCCCCTTGCCTTTGCCTCCTTATGCAAAATTGTGCCCAATTCAGCTCAAGGGGGCTGACTGGGCTATGAAATCCACCCTGTTCTCACACTGTCCATCCTGGATCTGCTACTCTGTCTCTGCTCAGAGTCAAATACAACAAACCAGCAGGGTGGACAGTTCTTTGTCTAGATTCACCTCCCAAGCTCCCAGTGAAAGTCCCTCCCCACCTGGTTGCTGGTGGAATTCCGGCTGCTGGTGGAATTCAGATTGCTGTTAGCTAAACGCTGCTGGATTATCAGTCACTGCAACACTACACTGTTGTGCTCACTGCTTTCCTGTGTCTGTCAGTCTCTAGGTACCCCTCTGCTGTTGTTCTGTTTTTCCTTTTTTCTGGAATATGTCATCTCTGCTTCATCCTCATTAAATGTTTTTCCATCCGTTTAAATGTGTCCTTATCCTATTTAACCATCTTAATTCTCCAATCATTTCTCTTTTTTAACTTATTTTATTTTTGTTACAAAGTCGGATATACAGAGAGAAGGAGAGACAGAGGAAAATCTTCCACCCAATGTTTCACTCCCCAAGTAAATACAACAGCTTGTGCTGCACCCATGTGAAGCCAGGAACCAGAAACTCTTTTGGGCCTTGCATGCAGGTGCATAGTCCCAAGGGTTTGGGCCTCCTCAGCTCTTTCCCAGGCCACTAGCAGGGATTTGGATGGGAAACGGAGCTGCTGGGCTAGAACCAACACCCACATAGGATGCAAATGTGGTCAATCCAAGGAATTTAGCTGCTAGGCCACCAAAGTGGCCCCATCAACCATTTCTTTAGATGATATTAATATGTCACCAAGGAATTGAACTCTGGATGAATGAAGAAAATATTAATGCTCCAAGGAGTTAGTGATATAAAACTGATGGAACACAAGAGATGCCCTCCTTTTAGGGCAGCAGCTGCCACTCCAAATGGCAACCCCAATTCTGCTGCTATCTTTAAGGGGAATGAGTGATCCAGAGGATAAGTTAGTCATATGTGTTTGTAACAGTGTTTTGAAACTCAGAAAAGCAAAAACAGTAAATTGAGGATCACTTAAATATTTTAATGAGGACATGCAAACAAGAAGCATGGACTTAAGTTAGGTAAAAGTAGATGTACTGAGACTTTTGAAGCTTAGTTAAGTTTTTGTTTTTCTTCAAATGGGCAGACTTTTCATTCACTCTCTCACTTCCCACATACCTGCAACAACAAGACTAAAACTACATCAGGGTTTCCACACTGGTACCCAAAACACTGTCTGCTGCCTCCCAGCCCTGGCAGTAGCTGCACACTGCATTTGCACAGAACTGAAACCCAGACATTCTAGTGGAGACACAGGAGTCCCAATGTCATCTGAACCACTGTCACACACACCCACACAGGGCAGTGATGCCTTCCTGCGCTGAGTCAGGTGGCCATTCACTGCTTTTCTCCCATGTCTATTGTTCACAGCATTCAGTTTTCTTAAGTGCTAATGTTTATTTTGTGTGAGAGAGAAAAAGACAATTTCCTGAATTGTATCTTGGAAGAAATAGTTTCTAGTGCTGTGATTCTCCATAGCAGAGAGCAGCACTTGGCATATAGGTAAGAGTTCTGGACATTCAGGAGTTTATTCTCTGTCTCAATGTTCTATGTTGAGCCTGGCTTATCCCCTCTACAACTCATAGGGACATTTAATCCCAATTATGACAACTTAGGAGAATGGGTTACAACATATCAGATGCCTTCATGATAAACCATTACTGGTGCCTTAAGAGCTCCTTTGTCGGGTTCTTCTAGAGGAGCCCCTTCACCTGAGTCCCCGTGCACTAGCCTTTGCTTGTCTTCAAGGACACTGTGTCACCCCAAGCCTCTGCCAAGAGAACGCCAGCACCACATGCTGCCCCTCAACCTTGGAGCAGAACTGTGAGGCAAACAAGGCTATGTTTTCTAACTGTTGGTGTCCGTGTTGCTCCAGAATCAACAACAAGAAAACTGCCCCAAACCCTTAGGAGGAGCATCACTGGAAACTGTGCTGGGCTGAAGATATTGTGCCTCAACTCAAGAAAATCAGGCCAACTTAAAACAAAACATTGAGGTCAGATGGTCCCCAAGCACCCCCCCCCTTTGCACAATTTTTTTAAGTGTGATTTTTTTTTTTTAAGATTTATTTTAGGGGCCCGGGGTGGTGGCGCAAGTGGTTAAAGGTCCTCGCCTAGCACGCCCGGGATCCATATGGGCGCCGGTTCTAATCCCGGCAGCCCCGCTTCCCTTCCAGCTCCCTGCCTGTGGCCTGGGAAAGCAGTCAAGGACGGCCCAAAGCTTTGGGACCCTGCACCCGCGTGGGAGACCCGGAAGAGGCTCCTGGCTTAGGATCTGCATAGCATCGACCGTTGCGCTCACTTGGGGAGTGAATCATTGGACGGAAGATCTTCCTCTCTGTCTCTCCTCTCTGTATACCCACCTTTCCAATGAAAAAATAATAAAAATAAATCTTAAAAAAAAAAGATTTATTTTATTTTTATTGGAAAGGCAGATATACAGAGATTAGAGACAGAGAGGAAGATCTTCTGTCCGATGATTCACACCCCAAGTGAGCGCAACGGCCCATGCTATGCCGATCTGAAGCCAGGAGCCTCTTCCGGGTCTCCCACACTGGTGCAGGGTCCCAAAGCTTTGGGCCGTCCTTGACTGCTTTTCTGGGCCACAGGCAGGGAGCTGGATAGGAAGCGGGGCCACCGGGATTAGAACCGGCGCCCATATGGGATCCTGGACGTGCAAGACGAGGACGTTAACCACTGCGCCGGGCCCAAAGTGTGAATTTTTTAAAATATCATTTTATGACACAGTTTCCCAGGCTCTGGGATTCCCCCAGAGCTTTCTCAGTCTCTCCCACTATATTGATTTCCTCAATATTGTTACAGTAGTACAGTTCATAACTCATCACAAGTCATGATTCCTTAATTGTAGGCATGGACCATGCGGAGAGTCCAGCTTCTTATTGCCCAAATAAGTTCAACAGTTTCATTGGGAGACCATCCTTGTCTGAAAGTAGAGCTGGCAAAATATCATCCCCTCCAATGAGATGTAACTACACAACTTCAACAACAGCAAGAAACATCAAAATTAACATCATCAAGTTAATTAACATGGTATTGAGTGACCAATATGCTAGAAAACACAAGTTCTTAACCACATCCTATAACTACTTTCTTGACATCGCTCTCAATTTTAATATATACACAACCGGCTGCTATAAACCCTTCCCCCCCTTTTTTTCTTCCAAGCTTACATGTTTCTGAGTTTAATTTAAATCAGTATGGCACAGGAACAGTGAAAGGATCAACAGTAACATCCATCATATATAACAGCTGAGAACAAACTTAACATCGAAGTTTCTATGCAGTTGCATCGTGTTTAGCATCAATAGTCATAAACTGGTAACATTTCGGGGGAGAATCTTAAACCGCAATTTAAACTTTGCAGTATTTAGTGATTAAGCCACAGTTTTACACAAGTTTCCATTTTAACAATTGAAAAACAGGGAAGTTTTACGCAGGTGAGCAGGGAAATCTCCAACAACCTAATGAGTGAGGAAGAATTTAACTCGACATCCTATCTAGTAAAATCCAGGAGAAGCAAATAGGTAGCCTGACCGGTATTTACAGCCTGAGCGATTATAGCTTGGTTGTCTTTTCCCTGCCTTTTCCAGACTTGAATATCAGTGTCTTGCTCTGTTTCTCTGAAAAGCCAATAGGTAGCCTGATCAGTAAGGCATAAACTGAGTGACTATCAACTGGCTGACATTTATTATTCTTTATCTGAAGTAATTTTGGGGCTCGCAAGCAACGTGTGGGGGTCAGTGTAAGAGAGGGTGGGGAGCCAAGGCTGGAATTAAATAAGGACAAGAGAAAGCTCTTCTGAGTCCAGAAGGAAATTTACAATCCTTTTACTTCTGAGTGCCACCTGTGGCTCCTGGCTGTAGTTCCAATGTCACCAGACCCTATGAGAGGGTTTTTATTCAAGGTCAATGTTGCAGAGTGAGGAACTCAAGTTCCCCCTGCTGTGCCCCTCCCACCCTGGGGCTTGAGGAGATGCTGGCACACATTCACCACTTCCAGCTTGAGGAGTTGGGTGTCCTGCAGAGGTTCCTGTGGGGTGGGGGCTCACAGGGCAGCACCAGTTGAGCCATCTGGACCTTCTCAGGTGGCTATGGTGGCTGGAGAAGAACCTCCTATGTGCTTCCACAGGTTTACTGGGCTCACATGATAGGACCACTCTCACAGATGTGGACTATGAATGACGTCAGAGGCTGCACAGTGAATCAGAAGTGCAACGGATGTCAGTCATCCCTAGGAATTCTGGAGAAAGGGGTATTGAGGGGCGTGGCTTCACTTCATTCTGGAAATGGCCTCCTCTGTCGCAGCTTGAGCCTTCCAACAGCAGGAGCCGCTGTTGACTCTCACATAAGCCTGTACCTTCTGGCCTCTCCTTCCCTCTCTGCTTCCTGTGCAAGCCTGGAAATCCAGAAATGTAGCACAAGAGATTCCGGTTACACTGATTGCTGAGTATATTCTGGGACTTTTCTTCTTTATATTGGCTTTATTTTTCATTGATTCATTTGACTTCAAAATGTAGAACTGAAGAATATTTCAAAAATATGCTGTGAAATAATCTTTTCTATCTCATTTGTCTTAGTGATGTGCAATAACCGGTCTGTATTTTTTCTTTTCATATTTTATCATAGCTGTTGCTTATTAATACACAGTAATTTGATTGTATATATTGATCTCCTGCCCAGAATTCTTCTTGATTCTCTCATCAGTAGAAATTTGGTTTTCCACAAAAGGGCCATTAGTGAACATTGATAGTTTGCTGCTTAAAACTCGACCCTTCTGCTACTGTTTGCTTTCTGTGTATGATCTCATTATTACACATTCACAACAATGTGTAAGAGAAAAAGTGTCAAGGGGGCTTCTCCAGATTAAATCTAGTGGAAAAACTTGCTGTGTGATATATAATATATTTATATTTTTTCTGCTATGCAATGTATATATTTCTGTAACTTGGTTTCCATAGTTTGTGGCTTTTTGTTTCTACCATTTGTGGCTTTTGGTTTCTGTTTCAAAACATCCCTTTCATAAAGATTTTGTAAAATTTTCTATTGGAAATTCAAATATAGAGAGAAAAGGAAAGAAAGGAATGTATTTTGTCCACTGATCCACTCCCCAAGGAGCCACAATGGCCAGAGCTGTGTCAGTCTGAAGACAGGATCCCAGAGCCTCTTCCAGGTCTCCCCGCTGGAGCAATTTCCCAAAGTCTTGGGCCTTCCTCAACATCTTTCCCAGGCAACAAGCAGGGGTTTGGTTGGGAAGAAGGGCTGCTGGAATTAGAACTGGTGCCCATAAGGGAAGCAGACATGTGCAAGGTGAGTATTTATGCCACTAGGCTACTGCCCCATATCCTGTTTTAAAACATATATTCCTGAATATTTCAAAAAATGCTCTCATGTCACAAAGGATTAAAAGTTTTATGAACGATGATATTTATATTGCTGAAATTGATTATTTACATAGCATTTTTGTCTTAATTACTTTTCCTATTTTTATTTGGATATTTATTTATTTATTTTCATTGGAAAGATAGATTTACAGAGAGAAGGAGAGAGAGAAAGAGACAAATCTTCCATCTGTAGCTTCCCTTCACAATCGAACCCCATAGCCAGAACTGAGTTGATCTGAAGCAAAGAGCCTCATCCAGGCATTCCACATATGTGCGTGGTCCCAAGCTTTGTGCCCTCATCTACTGCTTCCCAGACTACAAGCAGGGAGCTAGATGGGAAGTGGAGCAGTTGGGACATGAACTGGCACTCATACGGGATCTTACCACATGAAAATGGAGGATTGAGCCACTGAGTCATCATGCCAGACTGCTAATTGCTGATATTTTTGTTAATGGATTGCCATAGTGCATGGTTTTCAGTACATGAAAACATTCACTTGAGGCTATAAGTGGATCCCAGCAATTTTATGTGACTTTTCTGTGTTTCATCCTGTATTTTAGAAAATTATACAAGCCTTATGTATTTCCTGATATCTCCAGCCCTATATGCCTGTAGCTAGTCTTGATTTTGTGTAGCTCTGATCTTAGTCCTGGGGCTATAGGTTATCTGCAATTTCAAAACCTCACATGAATGTGGCCCATATTTGTCCCTGCATTTTGTCATTACAGAAATCTGTCATTTGAGCCTGGCATGGTACTTTAGTGGCTACAAGTTCTTGCCTTACATGAGTTGGGATCCAATTTGTGCAGTGATTCCTGTCCTGGTGCCACACTTCCCATCCAACTCGTGCTTGTGGCCTGGCAACATCAGGTAGGATGACCCAAAGCTATGGAACTCTTACCCACATTGGAAACCTGGGAGAAATTCTTGGATCCTGGGTTTAAATTGGTACAGCCCTGGCCATTGCAGCCACTTGGATATTCCTTGTGCCTATAGCTTAAGCCACCTGCCTATAAAGCAAAATTATTCACTCAGATCAATAATCACTATTTCTTTCCACTCTAAATCACACTGTGCTCCTCTTACTTCCCACATCTTACTCCTTCAACCTCCTCTGTGTGAAGTTTCCTAGTTAGCTTACCTCACTGAGAATCTGAGCTGCCACAATCACTTCACCCACTCCTTTTTCTTTCCATGCCAGAAAACACAGTCTTTCAAAGGTTTAAGCATTTGCTTTTCTTTAGTGAGCTTCACTCACCCAGATCCAGAGGGATTGGGTTCTGGATAAGTTAAGTAACAGCTACTTACAAACAAAACAAACAAATGTTATTTGCCAACTTTTTCAGTAACTTGCTATAACAGAACCCTCCAAAAGCAAGGAATATTCAAGTAGAGATTTCAATACCTGACATTTTTATTTAAGTGAGATAAATATTTTCTAAATGTAAAGTTAAGAATACCTAGCCTCTTGCCCCCCCATAAACAATGTTTCTGCCTGATTAAATACAACTGTTGACATTATTTCTAAAAAAGTTACCATTTTGTCAAGGATAAATTGGTATAGAATGAAAATCTAATCCAGCAATCTGTCATAGAGCTTGGACAAACGTAGTCTCCTGCAGTTGGCTACTGCAGGATTTCCCTAGCCAGGCTGGACCCAATGCTGAAGACTCAGGCCATAGTTACTGCTGTCAAGTGGTGATTAAGTTAAAGCTAATCCAGGCAATCTCCCTAGACACAAGTGTGATTTGGGGCTGAGTGCACTTAACCACGCTACATGCCAGCACCATATGGTGCTTTGGAGAACCTGGGCAGATGTTTGATGGATGAGGCTAGGTCTCTGCCCCTACTGAGTCATATGTGAGCAATGTCTGGGTATGGATGAGCCTTGGCTTGGCTGAAACATACAACAGTAAGAATCGGAATGGTTTGAAGGCCAGCAAGGAAAGGCCACTGTTCTTGCCAGAAAAGGAGATGAACCAAGTAGGGCTAGCCCATGGACTCACCAGTATACACAAGATATGGCATAGGGAGAAGGTTCTGATGGATGAGTTTGTGAAACTCCTCTTTTGGGACACAGAGGAGGTGAGCGCCAGAATCTAGATAGGGAATAACCCAGACCAGGCAAGAGAAAGGTAGCAACCAGCATACAATTGGCATAGGTCAGGGGGAGACCAGGCTGAAGCAGTTCACATCACCTGGTGGCAAATCTGAGCACCAGAACAGAGTGTGAGCCTGGGCAGGTTCATTCACAACACATTTTACGGCACATTACAGAATGCCAAGGTGAGATGAGCTTTACTAGATGTGACCACTGAGCCCAACAAGCACACAAGAGAACCAGAGAGGGAGGCAGAAAAGCTGGTAGGGGAATTTTGTGTCCCCTGCTGAACAGCCACTCCCACTGTAGCGCATGATTTGGGATGGGGGCAGACCAGACCAGGCAGGACTATAACCCTGTGAGCTAGATCAGGGAAAAGCCAGGCTGGGCTAACTACTCCAACTGGTACAAACATAAATTAAAGTGGGTGCAGGTTGGTTGGGCTTTT